CAAGCAAGAAATACATCTTTGTAAGATCTGGGGGTCGTTTGTAACCATTGTTATCTGCCTAATTCTGACTGATACAGGAAGGAAGCAGGTTGGGCAAAAGACTTCAATTTCTGCTCTTGCTGGTAGTGTGAAGTGTCCACTTTTGGGGGGTGGTAGTGGCAAAACAGTGGTGGTTTCCCAGTGGTTGCAATATTGAGTTCTTACCGCAGAAGTGCTACAGAGCTTGTAAAGTTGGCAGTCGAATTAAACTCTTGGTGCTTAGTATTTGGAGAGGCAATGGCTGTGGTTTCCTCTTCAGGTCGTGTGGTATGGTTTGAGTGTTGTTCCTAGAAACTGAGCCTCAAATTCATTTCCCCAGTCCTCCTAACATTTCTGAGCTAAATAATATCTTTTTGACAAATACCTTTTATGCTTTAATTATCCAGGGTGGATTCTATTATTTGTGAAAAAGAACTCTGATGAAATTACTATATTTAGTAAATCTCATGTTCCATCAATTATAAGAGGCAAGTTATTTTATGAACTACAGTTGACCCTCAACATGGGTTTGATCTGCATGGGTCCCCTTATATGTGTTTTTCTTTTTTTATAGCACTGTAAATGTATTTCCTCTTACGATTTTTTAAGTAACATTTTATTTCTCTAGCTTTATTATAAGAATACATTATCTAATACATGTACAAAACATGTGTTAATCAACTGTTTATGTTATCAGTAAGGCTTCTGGTCAGTAGTTAAGTTCTGGAGGAGTCAAAAGTTATACATGGCAGGCGTCTGGCTGGCTCAGTGGGAAATGCATGTGACTCTTGATTTCAGAGTCGTGAGTTCAAGCTCTACATTGGGTGTAGAGATTACTATAAAAAATAAACTTAAAAATGTTTTTTAAAATGTTATACATGGACTTTTTACTGTGCAAGGTGTTGGTGCCCCTAACCCCTGCATTGTACAAGGCAGGGTCAACAGTACTAGGAGAAAAGAGGCTAAAAAACTATTACATGCCATTAATTGTAAGACTGTATTCTGACTTCAGAGTTGCTTATTTTTTTAAAAAAGATTTTACTTATTTATTTGTCAGAGAGAGAAAAAGAGAGAGAGAGAGAGGCAGTACAACCAGGAGGAACAGCAGAGGGAGAGGGAGAAGCAGGCTCCCCAGGCTGGATGTGGGGCTCGATCCCAGGACCCTGGGATCATAACCTGAACCGAAGGCGGACACTTAACTGACTGAGCCACCCAGGCACACCTAGAGTTTTTTAAACTTGGGGAGGTGGGGAGTGCTTTAGGATGAGTAAGTTATTAGCAAAACGAATTCTCCCCCAGATGAAACTGACAGCTGATTATGATTTTAAAAGAATTGTATCATCTGGAGGAAAATAAAACCACACCCAATCCTCATAAATGCAGAGATCTGTGATTGCTCAATCCCAGGATAATCCCCAAAACACCACCAGAAAGTGTAGTGCTAATCGGTACAACGCTCCACAGACAAATCCTCCACAATGATGCTCTCGGAACACTGGATAAGGTATCACATCCTTGTGGGCAAAACATGGGGCAGCCAGATTGGCTACTGAGAAACTCTGTAGCCAAAGAAATGAATCAACAAACAGATGCCTTGAGATTTCCTAGTCCCACCATTTTCATTGTCATTCATGGCCAAAAAATATATGAAGCTTGGGATTACTGACCACTCTACAGTGACTTCTTTTTATTTTGTTCTTTCTTTCTTCCATCTCTAGATACTAGGAGTTTGGGGGTTATTTTTGGGCAGGGGGGTAGTGGTTTAAAGGCAGTTCAAACAAAGGTAATGAGATTATTAGAAACCATATTCACACCTTATAGAAAGCTGAGTGGAGCACAGAGGGACATTAGCCAGAGAACTTCTGTATGAAGAACAGTAGTCCTGTGATATAATTCCCAGAAGCAGGAGCTAGATGTGTCACTGAGCTGCCCTCCACCAGACAGGAGGAGAATTTATTGGCATATGTCTAGTGGAATGGTTGGAATACGTAGGTGAGGACATTTTTGGAATCCTACATATGTAGGAAAAGAATGTGTGTGTGTTGGGCAAACAAGGGGTGGACTATAGCGAACACCTGCCATTCTGCATTCTCTCTTCTCTTAGGATCCACTGCCCCCACCACCCTGCCCCACAGCAATGTCTGTGGGGTTTTCATGTGAGCCATGTCAGGCAATTTGAGCTTCATCCATCCCTTGGCCACAGTTGATGGGGTCCTGAGTTAAGTATCTACCTAAGCTGAGCCAATCAGAGCTCTTCCTGAGGAACTTGCAAACTGCAAGCAAGAAAGAGAAGCCAGTGTCTTGTTGGATGCCTAGACAATATTTTTAAGCTTTGTGATTGTCTGAAGTGATGTTTTTTACCTTGTGGACCAGAAAAATCTTAGAAGCCGGTCTGGTGGTGGGGATGGTAGGGGCTGGGCAGGGCAGGGGAAGGAAATGAAGGAGCCTGGTAGGAAGTAACAGAGATGAGAGATAGAGTCCTAATAGCTTTTGTGTCTATTAGTTCCTGTTATTCTTGAAGCGTCCCTGTCTTTGGGTTTCAATATCTGATTATGTGTTGTTTTTGTTTTTTAAGAGAGGGAGAGGGTGGTGGGATGGGGCAGAGTGAGAGGGAGAGAGAGAATCTTAAGCAGGCTCCATACCCAGCACAGAGCCCTATGTGGGGCTTGATGTGGGGCTCAATCTCATGACCCTAGATCATGACCTGAGACAAAATCAAGAGTTGGAAGCTCAGCTGACTGAGCCACACGGCAACCTGCTCACCCACTTTGCTGATTTGACTATTACTCATTTATCGATAACTCAAGAAATGTTGTCTTCAGCCTGAACCTCAGACGTACTTATCCAACTGTCTATGGGACATCTCAACTTGAGTTGTCAAATCTAGCATATCTAAAATGGATTTCATCATCCTCCACCTCCCCCACACACCACCCCAGACCCCTGCTGAAACACTTCTTCTCTCCTGTTTTCTATCTCAGTAAAGGGAATCACAATATCCCTAGTCACCAACCTGGAAGTTATCCCAGACTTTTCCCTCCCTCTTACTCCCCATATCCTGTAGGTCTAAGTGTCTAAGTTCTGCCAATTGTAATTCCCAAATATCCTCAGTGTTCTTTTGTTCTCTCCAATCCTCTTCCCGTACACCATTTCAGTCCTTTGTCATTACTCACATGCCTTCAATCTCCCTCCCCTTCCACCCAGCAGCCCAAATCATCCCTCTAATTTCTGGATATGATCCTATTTACTCTTATGCTCAAAATTCTTCAGTGGCTCCCCACTGTTTCCAGGATAAAATCTGAACTGCTGCAGCTGGGTCACAAATTCACTCATATTACACTCAGATGTGCAACAATGTAAGTCTCTTCTCTTTCCTAGAACTGGTTTGATCTTGCTCACAATGCCCCCACCCTGCTGGGTAACAGGGGCAGGGGAACTAAAATTAATCCATCTGGTAAACTCAGTAGGGTCCAAAATTTTATTTTAGACACCTGTAAGTATGACTCAGTCTTTCAGATTATCTTACCCTTCCCTTTCTTGTTTTCAAGATAGCATTTGGATTTATTGGGCTTTCATGTGAATTTCATGGCACTGAGGGAAGGGACCCCTTAGCCATATGGTTGTGTCAGTTGGCATTTGCTGAGACACAATGGGTTAGGTATAAATGAATTGGTGAATTACAACCTTGAGAGGTTGTAGCTACCTTGAATAGCTATTACTAATTACTATTACTAATAATAGCTACCTTCAGTAGCTATTACTTAAACAACTTTACAGATGAAGAAGCTGAGGCTAAAAGAGGGTGAGTAACTTGCCCAAGGCCACAAAGTTAGTTAAATGGCAGAACCAGGAATCAACGCCCGCCCTGATTCTGGAAGACATTTGGATCTATGGCTAGAATTCCAGAGATAAAGTAAGGCTGGATTTGGGAAGCACTGAGGGTCTTCATGACATAGCTTCAGAGATGTGCGCATCCATGGAGACTATGTAGAGTAGAATGAGAAAAGGGTCCCGTTCAGAACACTTAGGAGTCACTGACCTATGAGATAGGGTAGGAAGGCCTACCTGACAGCTTCTGCCCAAACTGATCTTCTTCTTAGGAGAGATTCTAGGTTGGAGAGAGTCAGGAGCTTCTAGGAGTCGTGCCTGGTCCTGTCCCAGCCATGGCGGACCGATCTCTCGGAATACCCCGGTACTCTCTATCCTAGGCTCCCCTACAGCGCAGCAAAGCACGAACCCGCGACCAATACCAAGTAGGAACTCAATAAATATGCCCAAAGTACTTGTGTTGGCAGAGCTGCTCACACCTCCTGGGGCCAGGGAATGTAGAGCTACCTCTTTAGACCCTCTAAAGTGGGGACACTGGCAGTAGCTGTGCAGAAGTCTAGGGGGGCTTCCAAGATGAGGACGTTCAGTCTCCTCCTAGATGTGGGGACCCAAGGCCTTTCCCCTTGGAAGAGGCGGGCAGAGGCAGATATGGACGGGCAGTCTCCTCACGCATGAGGGTCCAGAGGCCTTTCTCAGATGTTGGAAGTGCAGCTCTTCCAGGTGTTGAAGGTGCAAGAAATCCCTGCGAGTAGATGGGCCTGGTTCCCACCCCTTTCCCCAGAGGGATCAAGACCTCCTAGCCCCTCCGCTCTTATTCTCGCCCCCGCCCCACGCCTGCACCAGGGGCGATCCAGTCCCCACCCCAGCATGCGACCAATCGCCCGAGAGGCTGGCGCAGCTAGCCAATTGAATGACGGCAGCGGCGCGGAGATGGCTCCACCCGCCCACTGGCCGCGGGCCGCCGCCCGCCTCCCAGGAAGCGAGGTCCTCCGCTGTTTTTGCTGCCTGCCGAGCCCAGCCGAACGTAGTCGAACGTAGCCGAGCGCAGCCGAGCCTAGCCGAACACCGCGCCCCGGCCGCAGCCGCCGCCCGAACTCCGCGGAACGAGCTAGCGAGCAGCCGCGGCCGCGGAGGAGGCACCGCCCCAGGGGGAGGAGGTGCCGGCTCGCCGCAGACCGCCCGCGGCAGAGGCCGCCCCGATCGCGCGGCGGCGGGAGCGGCCGGCGGAGGCTGCGAGGCCGAGGGGGAGGGCCGGGGGAGGGGACATCGCCCCTGCCCGCCTCCTCCCGCCCCCCCCTCCCCCGCCCCGCGCCCGCAGGCTCCCGAGTCTCAGTCGGCGCCCAGCATTCCGCTGCCCCGGACCCTCCCTGCGGGCGCGCACCGGGCTCAACTCAGGTAAGGGGGCCCTCCCCCCATGGGCACGGGGGTCGAGAACCAGAGACAGAGGTAAAGAGACCCAGACCCACCTGGGGACATAGAGGCACAGCCGGGGAGAAAGAGACACAAAGAGACACACGAGACTCACAGAACTACAGAGACAGACCCCACGGAGAAGGGGAGAGAGACACGTCCACGGGGACAGAGTGACATACAGCAGGGCAAAAAAGAGAGACCGAGAGACACAAGAGACCCATACACACAGAGACCGATACAGAGATACACAGAGATAGACAGGGAGAGAAAAGACACACTCAGACACTCAGAGATGGGGACGCGCAGAGACAGATAGAAAGAGAGGCACACAGAAGCCAGCTGCCCAAACATAGAGGTGGGTATGCCAGGCAGAGGCACACATCTAGGCAAGGGAACGGAAAGATTAAGAGCCAGACACACAGACACACACAACTGACCTGGAGAGACAGTCTCACAGAGAGGCACACCTAGGTACACAGCCTTGGATACACAGACCCACACATGCGTGCCAGGGCCTCCACAAAGTTCCCTCTGTCTGAGCTGGCACCTCTGGAGGTCTCCTGGGCTGGCTGGCTGGAGTGCTGAGAAGGGGGAGGTGCCCAGGCCACACCAGCGCTGGTCACAGTCCCCATCCTCTAAGGCCTCGGGCTTCCTGGGTCTCATCCACTCATACAGTGCTTTTGAGAGCTGGAAGCTTGGTGGGCAGGGCCAGGCCATGCCCACCGATTCTCAGGAGAATGAGATACAGGATCTCTACTCCAGCTTCCCCACTGTGGCTGCACCCCCGTCCAGGTGCCCAGAGCCAGGCCTGAGGATGGGGGCGTTGCCTCTGTGGGGTACTTAGACCTGTTGGGACCCAGATTCCTCTGCTGGGGAAGCCAGAGATGTGGGAAAGGACTCTCCTCTAGACCCCTCTCTTCCTAGGCCTCACCCTACCCCTTCCTCACCACCCTTTCCTCTGCTCTCTACCTGCCACAGGCTCAGGACTGCAGGTGGATATCCACTGCCCAGGATTCACTGAGTGTGGACAGGACAGCGTCTTTGGAAGGCCAACTGTACTGGAGTTCTGCCTCGGCATGGGCCTTGCCATTCAGCCAGCCCCGTGGTCTGTGCTGGTCTGAGGGTGCTGCCTGTCATGGGGGCAGCCATATCCCAGGGGGCCCTCATTGCCATCGTCTGCAACGGCCTCGTAGGCTTCTTGCTGCTGCTGCTCTGGGTCATTCTCTGCTGGGCCTGCCATTCCCGCTCTGCGGACATCGACTCTCTCTCCGAATCCAGTCCCAACTCCAGCCCCGGCCCCTGTCCTGAGAAGGCTCCCCCGCCCCAGAAGCCCAGCCATGAAGGCAGCTACCTGCTGCAGCCCTGAAGGCCCCTCACCTCGCCTGGAGTCTGGGGCCTAAGTCTGCCCCACCCAGAGCCTGGAATCGGGATCCCAGGGTCTAGCCAGCCTGGAGTCCAGAACCCAGAGTCCAGCCTGTCTGGAGCTGGACCTAGCAGCCCAGAGTCAAGCCAGTCTGGCTCCACGAGGAGCTCTGGTGGCCCTTGGTAGACAGGCCTGGGGTGGGGATTCCTGAGTTGGTGCTAGGGCCAGGGCCATCTCGACTCTGCTCCATACCGAGGGCCAGGGACTGGGACCACCTCTCCCTAGGCCAGTTGCCTCCAGGCCTTTGAGGTTGGGGAAGCAAACTGGAATCCATGGCAATAACGGGAGGGCGTCCAGGCTGGGCCCCTCCTCAGGTCCTCCCACTGTTTGCTGGATAATAAATGGAACTATGGCTCTACCCTGAGATTTCCTCCTCTTCCTGAGGGCCCTGCGGTAGCAACATTAAAGGTGTAGGGTGAGCTTCCAGACGCAGGTTTATTTGTGCAAAGTAGGACAGGATAATGGTTGAGGGCCAAGTCCTGGGGTGAGGTGCTGGGATCAGGGCCAGTGTAGAGTGCTGATGGTAGATGCTGGGACCTGGTTAGGGGTGGGGTCACATACCGAGTACTAAGGCTGGGCTTGGGTGCAGGGTCAGGGGTTACAAGTAACAGGTTCAGAAAAATGGGACAGGGACTGAGGCCAGGCCCTCAGGTCTTGGTTTTCACTTCCCTCACCAGGTTCAGCAGTTTATCCAATTTTGCGATCTCCACAGCTGGACCCTTCTGTACCTCCTGTCCCTTCTTTTCCTGTGGAGGGTGGAAGTACACGGTGGGTGGGAGGAATGGTGAGGGATGGGTCACCTTTCTCTGGGTCCCAGCTCTGCCTCCTCTGCCCAGCCTGCCCCAGCTTTGTACCGCCCCTCTCTTGGCCAGTTGGATTCTGGATCCCTGCCTGTCCCAACTCAGGAGACCTGAGCCCAGCTGGGGCCTCTGAGAAGCATCCAGTCTAGCTCTGAATCTCAGATCAACAGTCTTGATGCTGGGAGGAGTGGCAGAAGGTGTCTACCCACTAACCTCAGAGGAACTAGCCTTTCAGGCTAGGAGAGCTATAGCTCTGGGGAGAGGTAAGACCTTTTGAGGTTGGGACCACCCGTCCCACAGGAGGGGTCCTGGCTGAGTCCTAACGAGGAGCTAAGAGGTATGTGTTTGCAGAGGGAGACAGGTGTGGACCAAGCCACAGGTACCCTCACCTTGTACCAAAACTTTAAGGTCAGTTGGGAGTGGGTGACATTTGGGGCCAGGCCTGCTGTTTCAGACATACCCAGGGTGGAGGAGGGTGTCAAGAGACCCAGAAGGGCAGATGAAATATCCCATGTGTTTCCAGTTGTCTCAAGCTAGGACTGTCCCTCAAAAGAGAAGAACCTAAATGTATGAGCCCTCATCCCAGCCTACAGGGCACTCTAATGCCCTGAGAAAAAGAGCATTGGGACACTGGGGTATGTGTCATTCACAGGTCCCAAGAGCTCCATGGCAGACCAGCACCAGTCCCATCCTCCCTTATGTCCAGGCAGCAGGGTATGGGCTAGGCTGCGGCAGCTACCATTTCCTGCCTTCCCTCTGCTCCAGATCCACCCCCCTCTCCCGCCCTCTCAGCCACCTGTGCCCACTGCTCACTGGCACCTGCTCCAGCCTTGCCTGCTGAGGGCCCAGCCTGGGTCTGGCCTGGGTTGTGAGGAGAGGAGAGTGCATGGCCAGCAGGCCCCTTCCTGGCCCCATCCCGCTGCTGACACCATGCAGAGCTCAGATTTCCTCCCGGTGTGACCACTGCACCTGCTCCAAAATCTGTCTCCCTCTCCCCTCGTGGCCTAGTGCCTTTGCCACTACCCAAATCACCTCTACACTCTCTAGGCAGAGGACAAAGATGCCTTTTCCTTTAACTATTCTCCCTTCCAAATCAAGTCACTGTTCTCTTTTTGGCCTCACCCCACCCCCTGGGAGTTAGTGGGACCTGGCTTATAGTTCCAGCTTTGTCGTTAACTCCCTCTATGACTTTGGGCAAGGCCCTTGCCTTTGTAGGCTCAGTTTCCCATCTACACTGTAGTGAGGGAAAGATAGTCTTTGACCTTTGACAAGCTGTGCTCTGACACCAATTAGAGGAAGCTTCCTGGGTCAGGAAGTTGGGCCTCTGTGACTAGACCCCTCCTGGAAAGGGCAGGGAGATGGCAGCCCAAAGAGGAGGGGCAGTAGGGATGCCTGAGGACTTCCTTTGGCACAAATCACTTGGCTACGGATAAGATCAGATGACAATTGCCTGGAAACCTCCAATCCACCAAAGCACTGGCCCCCAACTATTGCCCACTCAGGTCCTCTGCTCTCCAGGTACCCATAGCCTTAGGTCTTCAGAGATAAAGGTCCTCGATACACAGAGCCCAGCTCTCTTAGCTATGGCTGATCTTTGCTCTGAGAGGAGTTGGGACCGTGGGACATCCTTGCCTCCCTGTGTCAGAGTGGGCAGGGCAGGCCCCACCCAGATCTGCCACACTCCAGGTGTGATGGGTGTACCCTTGCCCCTCCCACTGGGCTGTCGGCCTCTGCCGGCTCAAACTTGGGTCTCTCTCCTCACTAAATTAAGAGCAGATTTTATCTGTTCCACAAATTGTGCTGTCTCCTTCCCCCTCCTTGAAACCAACTAGCTGGGCTCAGCAAAGAACTTCAGACCATGCCTGACCCCCGCTATTCCTCCCGCCCCCCCATACCCCACCCCAGCCCACCACAGCCTCTAGGCCACAGCTGCAGGCGCTTAGCAGCCTTCCAACTATTTATAGCCAAGTCCACCCCCTCCCCCAGCTGGCTACAATTGCAGGCGCATCCAAACTCCCAGACCTCCTCTCCTGGTCACCGTATGGAAGAGACCAGGCAGGTACCAGAGGGCTGCGGCAGTGACCCCTGCTTTGGTAAGGTTATAGGGGAACAGGTAGCAGTGGTTGAAAGAGACAGGGCCCTGCCCTTCCCTCAAACGGCAAATAAGTGCCTCATACTGCAACCAAGAGGTGTATAGTCATCAGGGCAACTTGGCCCAGCCCTGGCCCAGCTCTGATCCTGGCCCAGAACGTGGCAGAAAGCAAATTCCATATTTTCTCTTAGCACTCAAATGGGTAAGACTGGGCTCTGGATTTGAAGGCTTGGATGCTTGGGTCTGAGATCTAGACTTTGAGGCCCTGGCTCTGGGCTCCATAGCTTGTTTTCAGGGCCTTAGGCTCTGGGCAGGGTCTCCAGATCAGTACAAATCCCAGAAAGGAACCATAGCTGATAAGGCTGCCTAGATGCTGACCTAGTTACCCCTTTTCCTTTTCACATTCTTCCCTGTGTGGACCCACAGCTCCCAGCTCAGGGGCCACTGGGGCTGAGGCCCTGTGTAAGCCCAGCCAATGGAGCAGTGACTAAGCCCCAAGTCCCCTTCTTGGGTAACCTGATCTACACCAAATAAGCCAATGATGTCTATGTGCTTCTCCAGGCTTTGGACTCATGTAGACGCCTCCTTACCAGGATGCCTCCACCTGGAAGCTCCACAGGTAACTGATCTCTTTGTCTCTCTACAAACCTGCATCTCCCGTGCTCCATATTTGGGCAATGACATCACCCTGACCCTGGGTTTTCCAGGCCAGAAAGCTGGGGACCACCCCCTGGCTCCTCCCCTTTCTCTCAACCCCCACCATCTTGGAGACTTGACTTCTCACAGCAGCCCAAACTACCCAAGCCTGTACCTTCGGCATCTTGCGCAAGTTGGGTGAGAGCTTGAGGCAGATGACGTGCCCACGGTCATCACCCACAATGATGATGGGATGGATAGGATTGAACTGCACGTGGGTGATCTTGTTCTTCTTTTTGGCCACCACGGGCTGGCTGCAGATGGCCTCATACTTGTTGATAGACAAGTCAAACACATGGGTCTGTGGAGAGATTGGTGTCGGCACACTCAAGGATAACAGGGCCCCTGTCCTACACCTCAGAAAAACCAGCACTTGGGCTTTCTGAGGAAACACAACAGAAGCATAGCATGCTGGAGCTGGAGGCAGTGGGAGAGGGGATTTGTGTCTCTGATCATGTCTTTCCTGTGGTTGAGGGAATGAATGAAGAATGGGAGAAAATTTAAGTCTATGCAGAATTAACAATAATAGCATCTGCCATTTACTCAACACTTACTATGTACTAGACTCTGGGCAAGCATGTTATGCAGTTGTACCACCCAGTAATCATCACAGACATTCTGTAAGGAAGGTTCTATTATCATCCCTAGTTATAAATGAGGAGATAGAGGCTCTTAAAGGTAACTTGCCAGTGAGTGGTAGAGGCAGGCTTTATACCAGTTAATAATATACGCAAGGCCCTCTGACAAATGTTTCATCTTATTTTTACCATTCCCTGAGTCCAAACCATTAGTAACTCTTGCCTGGACAACTGTGGCAGTGTCCTGACTGGTTTCTCTGCTTTCACTCTTGCCCCTTTACCATCCAGCCTCCATGCAGCCACGAGAACTTAGCTTTAAATGATCTAAAATGCTCCAGTAGTTTCCCTTGACAGTATATATAAAATCCAGATTCCTTACTCCAGATTTCTCCACTCTCTACTCTTATTCCTGCGTTCTCCCCTTTGCTTCCTAGACCCAGCCACACTTGCCTGTGGGTCCCTGAAACCCCTTCAAGCTCATTCTCACCTCAGGGCATTTGCACTAGCTCTTCCCCCTGTCGGGAATGCCTCTCCCCATCTTCGCCTGGCTAGATCTTGTCGTTTGAAGCTCTCAGCTTGAATGTCACCTCTTGAAGAAGCTCTCCTTGAACACTCTAAGAAGCTGCCCTGTCCTTTCTTTTTACATCACTCCTTTTCTCTCTTAAAAAATATAATAGCTTTATTGAGATATAATTCACATACAAAAACATTTACCCACTTAAAGTATACAATTCTCGGTTTTGGTATACTCACAGTTATGCAGCCATCACCACAGCCAGTTTTAGAGCATTTTCATCACCCCAAAAGAACCCTCGTACCATTAACAGTCACTTCCTGGGTTCTCCCATACCCCCAGCTCTAAGCGACCACAAATCTACTCTGTGTCTCTGTAGTTTTCCCGATTCTAGACTGATATAAATGGAATCACACAGTGTGTGGTCTTCTGTGACCGACTTCTTATGCTAGCATGTTTTCAAGTTCAGCAATGTTATAGCATGTACCTGATACTTCATTCCCTATTATTCTTGATAGTGACCCTTTTAGCTATACCATATTTTGTTTATCCATTCATCAGTTGATGGACATTTGGGTCGTTCAGCTTCTTGGCTATTAGGAATAATGCTGCTATGAACACTGTGTCCACACATATTCCTCTGTTCATCTCTGCCTAGCACTTAATGCTAAT